GGACGATAGAATTCTTATATCGGGATATGAGATTTGGTCATATCGCACAGCCCTAGTTCAGACAAGACAGAAAGATAGTGGACAATAGAAGAGGGTTGTTTGTTGGGGGTAAGAAGGAAAAGATGGGACATGATACTAACCTGGAGTTAAGAGAGAGGAAGAGAGAGAAGCGTGATCATCATTAAAAAACGATTAGTGGATGGGGGGATGGTGGGAGGGGGCGAGGAGAGACAAGGTCTGGCTGGGAATGGACAGCAACCCCTTCAGTGTTCTGAGAGTGTTTCCGTGTGTGAATAAGGGTGATTTCAGCTTTTATTTTAAGCATAGGAAAGTATGAATGAAAGAAGAAGGTGCACTGAGTTCAAGAATTGAAATTGTGTGGTTAATAAAAGACGGGAAGCAGGAGAAGAGGACGTCTGTCTTTGGTTTCGGAAGAGACGGACATGGTGTGTCATTCTGTTGACTCATTTCTCAGTCACCCACACACACACACACACACACACACACACAAACGCAGCTTCCTTCAGCAATCACAAATACAGTAGTGACTAATGTCTTGCAGAAAAAGTTAACAATATTTTTATGTGGTGTTTATGCCGGAAAAACCCTGTTCATCACACAGTCGCACACACACACACCTACAACTATGCAAACACGTGTTGTCTCTATAGCTGGACATAAAAGTTGTGTGTGTGGCTCCCAATATGGAGTCAGGATGCGAGTATAAATGTCCCTGGTTTGGCCGCATTTGCATATGCGTGTGTACGCATGTGTGCCAACCCCATAATAAGTGATGTGTGTGTGCCTTTGAACAGGCCGGCCTCATTAAGGGAGGAAATTGTCTGCCTCTGTCATCATTTTATAATATATTATGTGAAAGGTTAATTGCAGTGACGCAGTTGTAAAAAACAGAAACACCAAAATATTTATTTACAATTTACTTGTGGGGACAGAGGCGAGTTTCCAGTTCCAAAACCAAACTTGGGTCCATCTGGCTCCTGCTGAATGCAACGCTGTGCAGCGCCGGCGTACTGTTTAAATAGCAGTTAGCACTTCTTTCTGCTGTGTTTGTGCGTGTGCATTTAAAGAAATAAGTATGCATGTATGTGGTCTGGCGTCTTGCATATTACTTGCACTGTCTGCGAGTGCCACATCCACATGTGCATGTATGTCTGTGCTGAAAGGTTGAGTTAGTGCTGTTGGGAGAGGGCTGCAGGAGTGTTTGGCTGCCATCTCCACTCATTCACCACACGCTGACGCTTTTTGCTCCTTCCTTCTCGACTGAAGCATTTTAACACGAGGACACTCTCCAGGACCCTGTCCTGGCCTAAATGGCCTCTGTTCTATCTAATTAAAGCTGTCACTTGTAGCATTTTGAAGTTTTTCCAGCCAAATGAACTGTGATAGCTTAGCAAAATTACAGTAAAGACATTAAGCAGCAATTTCTTTATCAATTTTTTTTTTTTGCTCCAGGAAATAAGCAACCATTAAACTCTGGGACATTCTTTGAGGCTAAATTTTAAGACAAATTTAAAGAAAAGAATTATTAAATCATAAAAGAAACACATCAAGATTAAAAAGAAAGAACTCCTGTCTCCCACGTAGCAATGATGCTGCTGTAAAAAAAGAAAAAATGTGTTTGCTTTTCTTGTTCACCATCTTCATCTCTCTCTGTAGCTCTCTGCTTAGATGAAACGTCAAACCATTGACCTAATATTAATACTTGTGGCTTTCGGTGCTTCCTCACTGTGTGAACGAAGTCCAGCCAACTAATAACAGCAGCGAGGATTGTGTTTGACCAATGAGTGATGATTAGCTTTGCAAAATCTAGCCAAGGAACTTTGCTTTGGGCTTTTCTTGTGGTTCGTGAAAAGACTGTACTGAAAAGAGCTAAATTAATAATTTTTCTTAGCTTTGTTTAAAAGTAATGTAAGGTTCCCGAGGGCTTTAAAAAATTCCTACAGTTAAAAACAGCCATTAAATATTGCTGTTTTGGCATTTTAAAAAGCTTTCCTCACCAGTGAGACCGGCCTGTCACGCACTCAAACACAGCATATAAGTTTTTTTTAAACATGCAGAGTTAATTTTTGTTTGTGCTGTAACTTCTACCGCCCTCTAGGCTAGGTCTCTCCTGAAAATAATAATAATAACAATAACAATAATAATAATAATAAACCCACAATCTTTTGCTAAATCTAACCATGCAGCTTTTAGTGCTTAAATCTTGATTAAAGGAATGAAAGCAAAACTAAAAAGCAAGTCCAAATGAAAAAAACATCAATAAATCAGTGCAGTCAATGAAACTTTAACATGTGATGATTCAACCCATCACCATTCATCCAACCAACCCCTGAATGTGGACATTTACATTCCTTAAAAGCAGGCTGGTATCTAAACTTATCACGAAAACTAAGGAAATGTTTTTGGTCGATTATTTATTTGTTGTAACAATTTTCTTGGCAGTAAGTCTTATACCATTGGAAAGCCTGTTTATTTCCCCTTAACTGGTGCCATATTTATGCGGAAAATGTATTTGTGGGTTGTGGCCATGGAAAACTTCCCAAAACTTCTCCATCAAACAAACCAAACATCTTATTCTGCTATTGACTCTTGTTTTGAGCTTCTGGTACCCCTGGTGCTGTTAATCAGGTGGCTGATTGGCACCTGATTAGCAGCAGCTGCTAGCACCCTGCTACAGCGGGTGATCCGGATGGGGCCCGTGCCATAGGGCAACTTCACGCTGGTGTTCCACAAAATACAGATTTCTTTACTTTGTGTGATGAGTTTATTACCATTCAATGTTGCCATGGGCAGTGTGTCAAAGAATGGAAAAGACCTTACGGAAAACACACAGAAGAGCCAGTATTTGACTGCCAAGTATGATAACATGTTGGTAAAATACAAAATGAAGATTTATTAATGTTCAAGCACCACAAAAGGCATCTACACTGCTGGGAAAGCAAATAAATGTCAACTACCTGAGCCATGCTCCAGCTAATGGTTTTAGAATAAAACTCAATAAACTACATTTCCTAATTAGAATATCAGAAATTCACACATGTTCGTTTCTTGCAACAAAATCCCAGAGACTTAAATATCTAAATGCAGAATGCTATTTCTTCTTGGTTGCATCATTACATCAAAAGGCAAATTCAACCTGTCGTGCAGATCACCTTAAACATATTTTTCTGTTGCACTAAGCACCTTTGAAAACTTCCCGATCCTGACTAGAATCTGAAACATAAAAACAACACTTCTTGTTTGCACATGGATCTGAAAGAGCTAAGTCTTATTTCACCTGTAATTACTATTCCGGATAATAACCTATCGTTTGTCCCCCAGGCCGGTGTCGTCTATCTGCTTGACTTTGCCCATGATCTGTCTTTCCTCTGTTCCATCTCTCTGCCTGCTACTTGTTTGGCTCTGGTGCTCATTGACATTGACTGTGGGCAAGGATGTCAGCAAAATAACTCAAAAGTAAAACATCTGTTTGCATGCCCGTCTTTACATGTCAGTCCAGAAGTAGTCCGGTAAGTAAAAGCCAGAACAGGCAGCCAACATTTAGCAGGAGTAATAACAATGGAGTCCAGCCGTATTGCCAACAGCTACAGCCGACCGTGTTTTCTCAGGGCAGTTTTCATCCGTACAGCCCACACCGTTTTTTTCTCCCACTTGTCAAAACGCATCCAGGCACTGAGGAACATTTCCCATCTCTATGGCCTCGTTAAGTCACTAGTACCCAGGGGAACGACACATATGCACACTCCCTGTGGTCTGAGGTTGAATTCACCAAAAACCCTTCCGTTCTGAGCCTCCCTAACACCGGTATGAGCTTTCCTTAGTGCCTCAATATAGATAAAACACATTACAAATTGGAGTGGTCAGCTCGCGCTTCATTTGAAAAAGCTGTTTGTGTGTTGCAGGCTAAAGTGGACAAAATGCAAGCTGTTCTTTAAATAGAGATGTATTTACCTCCCCTGCAAATGAAGAGTGACTGGACAAACACGCACACACACACACAGAGCCACACCTGAATGAGCTCAGTTGGCAAGTGTACAGCTACTGCCATTAGCCACTTTTGGCACTGCAATGTTTAGCTATGTCAGAAAGAGTTTTTATGTAGCTTTAAATATGTTTGCCCATATGTTTTTTCATCATATGTCCAAATGTGCCACAAAGTAAAGGAATGAATGAGGAAAATCCTCAGAAGTGAGGACATTTGTGTCTGTTTGAGAAAATAACTGATAGGGGTTGAGTTTAAGGAAAGGTTTGGGTCCTTATACATGCAGTTTCATGCGTGCGTGCGTGAGAAACTGAAAGAGACTGAGAGAGACCGTACTTGCTTCTCGGCCTGTGTGCGTGCCTGCTCCTCCTGGGCGAGCACCACCTCCCTCTCGGCTGTGATCTGAACGCTTTCTCTCAGCGCTTCCTCCAGCTCCTCAATGCGCTCCTCCTTCTGACGGAGAGAGTCCTACAAAGCAAACGTATGGAAGAAAAGAGTATTAGTAGATGAAAAAAGGGATCCCAAAAGTTAGAACAAATAATCTTGTCTCAGACGTGAACGTCTGAACCAAATTTGTGCAAATCCATTAAAAAGTTACAGCAACTTTTCAGTCAAAACTGCAAATGTAGCTACGATGGGAATAGAGAATAAAGTCACTAAACTTAGTGGGATTCATCATCTGGGGACCCTTAATGTTAAATGCAGAATATATATATAGAAATCTATTCTATGTGTGAGTGATGGGCATATATAAAACCAGATATATGTGCTTTAAAATGAAGATTTTCACAATTTTCACATACCTATGTTCTACATTTGTTATTATTATTAGTTCACAATACATCGTATTTGTCTTATATTGGGAATTAGTGCAACCCTTTAGCCATCCTATGCCTAAATCAAGCTGTTTCTACTTCACTGTCTTTTGAGCTAATTTTCCTTCTGACCGGCTGTTTCTCACTAACACAAGATTTGAGAGGCAGGCAGATGAGGCATCAGTGCTCTGCCTGTGCCTCGAGATGACCATATAAAAGTCTCACTTTCACACAGAGCCAAGAGTAACAACTGAATCATATTAAAAAGGAATTAAATGGAGTGTTTAGAGCAATCTTTGTGGCTCACAAAGATGCCTGTGTGATTGTGCTTTTAATTTCTCCAAACTATTTTGGAGTAGTTGGATCTAATAAGTATAAAAGCTAAGCTTCATCTTTGAACATGCAGTTGTTACGTACTAAATGATGTGCAAGAAAAGTCAAAATGCCATGTCCCCATGGGATGAAGCTGAGGCTAAAGATGATGCAAAAACTGCTCAGAAATTGCTTGAGCGAGGTTTAAAAAAGCCTCTGAAGTGCTCATGTGGCCTAGGATAATTGGAACAAGCAGAACCCGTGGAGGTCTGACCCCACAACAAGCAGGACCGAAAGGTTGTGCTCCCAACGCCCCGGTGCCACACAGCACCAGAGATCCATTCTCCAGTGGGTCAGAGCTGCATGGGCACCACACTTTTAGGCAGGTGGTCGATTAATATACATCATAACTTTTCTTAACTCAGAAGTTTCTTAGCATCACAACGTACCTACAAATGTCTTTTAGTAATTTTGTATGTGTGAGTAAATGACATGGCTAACTCATCTGGTTTTGTTTGACATCCCTCATATAATTACAACGTGCTCTGAATTTTATGTAAAAGCAGCTGCTTAGCATGCCCCTAGATTAAAACACCCTGGACACCCCCTCCCATTCATGTTTGCAGAACCAGAATAAAAGACTCAGAAACAAGAAAGTCTGATTTCCATCTCCCTCAGACCATTGTGATCACACATGAAGCTGTTTCTTATAAAATGACAACATGAACTTCCCACCAATTCCCCAAAAATAAGATTTATTTTTCTTCTTGCCAGCCAACTGACTTTGCTGGTTAAATTAGAGTGAATAACTACTGGGAACGGGGTGAGAGGGAGGGGACACTACAGTGGCCATGAACAAACCTCCAGAACATCTCCAACACATGTGCTGAAAATCTTAGTCGTCAGTGTTCCAACATTACTTGGTGTCTAACTATGCAGACTGAGATGGACTTTAATTCAAAACTTCTTATTTGTATTAAATGAAATTTATTGTCTGAATTACTCTCAGATTCCATTTACAGTCTGCAGTGCTGTTTGAGCTGTGCATAATGACTTAGCACTGACACACACCAGTTATGGTTGTAACCACTGCGGTCTCATATGTCTGAATGACTCACACAACCATCAGCTCATCTCCTAACCACACGCATACACATGAATGACAACTTTTGAACTCCTTTAACCAAAGATCAATCATAGCTAGAGGGTGCATACGCATATGCATTGAGTATTTTCATCTGCCTATAATCAGAGAGCCCACTGAGGTAAACAATTACTGGAAGTGGAGGAGGAGGAGGAAGATGGACAGGAGAGGGGGGTGTGTGGGAATGGTAGGAAGAAAGGATGAAATTATAAAGAGAGAAAAGTGAATTGAAAGAAAAATTACATTCTGCAGATATATGAAGAAAACCAAAGTCAGAGTAATCACCCCACATATGTTCATCTGACACGCCCAGCACAGTTGGGGGGTGGCTTCCAGATCCCAGGAACCATTTTAAAACCCCACAGCACTCATTTGGCAGCTCTCTTCTTCCTCCTCTAATCACCTCTCCACCTATTTTATCAAACTTTTCCCCCTCTTCCCACCATTTGTTATCTCCTCACCTCTTCTCTCTCCATCTTCTATCTGCTCTCCCTGTCAATTATCCTCTTCAGTTATCCCTCTCACACACTCCCCGACTGAGAGCTGCATCATATGTGTGTGTGTGTGAGAAAAAGTTTGACATTGCCTTAGGCTGCTCCTTGTCACATTATGATGATACAGTGTTGTTATAGCACAAAATATTCAAAGGACACAGAGAAGGGGAAAAACTTTTTCACCCTCTCATTTCACCCCTCCAACTTTCTACAGCTCTCTTTCTCCTCCTTCCTGCTTCCTCATCCTCCCCCTGCATACCTTTATCTGCAGCGAGCTTTCGTTCAGATTGTCCTCTCTCTTCTTGGCCTCTTCCATCATCTGGGCATTCCTGCTCTTTTCCAGCTGCTCCTTGTGCTTCAGGTTGGCCACCTTCTTTGATTGGTCCTTCATCTGTCTGTATAGACACATAAAAATACAAAATAAACCCACAGTCACCACTCTAAAAAAAAAAATAGGCTAAAAATAGAAATGAGATTTGTAATTTGGGCTCTGTACAACACCACAGTGGATTTTAAATTAAACAATCAATATGCAGAAAGTGCAGAATTTCAGCTTGTAATTAATAACTTGAGCTTATTATATCATATTATACAACAACAGTTCTCTAACTGACTAAAGTAGGCAGCCATTTCTCTCTCTTTCTTTAAAGATTGACATTGTGGGGTCAATTTGAAAGAAAGGCAGATGGAATTTTAAAGTGAGAGCAGTCCTCTCAGAATTCATTCAAAACTTTGCAAAAGATCGTATTTATAGACAAAATGACACGCACGCAAACACTGCCAAAACAAATAACCTCCTCCGTGGAGGGAGACGACACAATTATTTCCATGGTTAAGAAAAACAGCTTCACAACACAATACAGAGCTCGTTGTTGGCATGTTTTCTCATGTCTGAACACGGGAGTCACAAGACTTAAGGCAGAGAGGATTATTGCCACCTGAGCTTCAGTCGATCACTACAGTGAGTACTCACCCATATCAAAGTTAGCGATAGCAGCTAGCTAACCTTATGCAAGTGTGTAACTGTAGTTCTGCTAGCTTGCTTCATTAGTTTCCAGAGCGTGTCCAAATAAAATGTAAAATCTAAGTGATATTACAAAAAATCAGAAATGTGGCTTGGCTGTAGAAAATCATAAGAACTTCTTTACCTGTCTCTAAGATCCTGATAATGTAAGTTGAATAGCCACAAGTTCAAGACCATCCTTTTGTACTAATTCCCCTAAAATAAAGACTACCTAAAATATACTTTGCTGAAAAGGGTAGCATTACTGACCATACGTTGTTACAAACCCAAAGCCCAAATCAAAAAAGCTTCATGGCATCACACTGAGAAATTGCTGTTTAGGATGATGTATTTTCAAAACAGGCGCAAATAGGCAAAAGTACGAAATTCCAGCTTTGTACTTTAACAGATCTTAAAAACTCTCTCTGCCAGATCATACCCACATGTATACAAACAGCCTGAATATGCCGGTGTTTACAGTTAAAGGCAAGAAGTCTGGGTGATACAGTAAGACTGTGCGATTCTTTGCAGTACATTGTAGTAATAAAATTCCCTTGGGCTTCTATAACAGATCAGATCAGTAAAGAAATTCAATGAAAAGCTATGAATCAATGACAAGATGACATTTTTGATTTCTGCACGGTGGGAAGCACGGGGGTCTTTTCACAGAGGGATTACCGTGTGTCGGGAAGCAGAGTCTAAATCATCATCTGGGAAATGAAAGGAGACAGAGCGATAGTGAAAGACGGAGAAACAGCAGAGAGTAATTCCTCCTGGGAGAAGAATGGTTCGAAGAGTTTAATCCCTGTTTAAGCTTTCTGCGAGCCTTTGTGACTGTGTCACAGAACTATCGGCTATCACACCAGCTTGACTTGATCTGGACCTTTCATACCTTTCATGCTGCAGACATACACAGATGTGGAGTAACTCAAGCTAATGCCAGTAAGGTTTAACAAGGTCTACTGAATCATGACATAGATGAAAGATAAGTCAAACACGAAGGGTGAATGTGTAAGCATAGATTTGCCAGTGCATACACACCGACATTTCCATGAAACCAGCACACGTCCAACAAAGACAAAACTAAAGCGCTGACCAGCACAAAAGAAGGCGATCAAACTCAATAAAAGTCATTGTTCTCATACTATATATGTCCTTGACTCATTTTTATGTTTACATTTTGCACAGTAGGCGTGCCTTCACTGTACAAATGTTTATGCATATGCGTGTGTTCCTGTTCTAAGTTTTTACAGGCTTGTAGATAAATCGTCATATCTGTGGCTGCAGCTGCCAGTAAAAAAGACCTCCAGTGAGGGGAATCCAGAGCGTTTGCTCTCATTGTAAATCCTTTTTACCAGCCGTAAACTGCATACTTTGTTTCCGAAGGTATAAACAGGTTCACATGACCTTTGACCTTAGTCTGTGCACTACAAATCTCCAAGCTTAACTCTGCACATCTGCACTGCTGCGATCCCACAGTTTACTTTAGTTAGAAACATCTGTCTGAATTAATGAGGTTTATTTGTTTACATATAGAGTAGTACACACATTATAGTCTGCATTCAATTGCAACCTTTCCTTCATCGTTCTCATCTTTCATGTCTCTTTAAGCTACAAACTAGCTGCTATTCTAATTTAAACTAGCTAAAAATAATGAGAGTAATCCATCAAATATCATTGCCAGAAAGGCTGAGAAATGTTATTGGCAGTAGAAGGTATTATAAAATCTTCTATGTGTTTGCTAAAAGGTCCAGGAGGCCTGATTCCAAACTGTCCAGAGAAATTTGTAAAGTTGTAATAAAAAAGACTAAATCTAATGATAGAGCCAACATTATGCTGCTGCACCTGGCTGTTTAGCACTCACTGAATAACCATTAGTGTGCTAAGATGTGCGTGTATGTTAAAGAGCATGCATGTGTGCCTCATGTGCTTTTAGGGGTTCAAATATTAAACAGAAGGCAGATGTTGTAAGCATGCATTATCTGTGTTTTTTCTTTAACTTTGCACCATGATTGGGAGCTAAAGTTGTATGAATATGTTTGAGAATGATGTTTTTGTGCTATACACCCATGTGTGTGTAACAGGTCATAAACAGGCAGGAATGTTCCTATTGGAGGATTTCCAGGAAGCTTTCTGAGGTTTCTGACCTTCATGCTGCATTTACTGTACATATGTGAGAGTACGTGCATGTGGAAATAGACTTTTATTTTTTGGCGTTTCCTAATGACTCAACACTTGGTCCCCTATCTTTTCACTTTTTCTAATGCTAAACACTTGCTTTGCTTGCTTTTTAGCATGTAGGTCATTTGCATTTGTAACTATCACACATTCACATCAAACCGCACCAACTTCATCCTCCTCCTCCTCTTCTCCTCTCTCATTGAAATTTTCTTGCTTGCAAAATCCATTTCCTCCCACTTACATGCCAATATTTTGCATGTCGCATTATAATTACATGCATGCAAAGCAGTTATTTATTTGCACTGAGCCAATGTTGGAGAACAAATGTACCGCTTCTCTTTTCTTTCGGGAGTTCCTTTCCAAATGCAACATAACTGTTTCCTTTGGATAAAATGCTTTCATCGGACCATAGACCATTTCTATATTTTCTTCCTCTCCCTAGCTCTTGAATCTCCCTCTTTTGTCATTTCAACATCTAGTGCTTTCCTTTCTTTCCAAACTCCTTGAAGGAGCCAAAACAAGCTTTTATGCTATAATGATTATCATGTGAATATAAATCATACTTAATATGAAATTCATCCTCACAAGTATGCTGCACCTGTATGTTATAGTCCCTCTAAATGGTTTTAGATGTAATTTATAAAGATCAAATGTCTTTGGGGTTGTGTCAGGAGCATAAAAATCTGCCAAATCAACCATGTGGAGCTACCTGCTGTGGTGACCCCTTTGTGAATAAGAGAACAGCTGAAAACATCTTTATCAGACAAGACAAGGTAACAAAATAAGTTATTCCTGGAACTAACAGTTACTGTCAATCTTGACTGAATAATCTGTAGTTCATTAAAACAAAACAAAACAAAAAAAACAAAAATCAGACACAGTACAGTAGATCTTTTATCTGGTAGGTTAGTTAAAGGTAAAGGCACCATAAAAGGGAATACAGTTGATACAATCAAATGGCTTCCACGGTCATCAGATCTCAATCTAACAGAAGACCTTTAGGATATGGTGGATTGGGAGATTACCATCATGTATGTGCTGCTGACAAATGTGCAGCAACTGTGTGATGCTGTCACGTTAGTATAAAACAAAATCTCTGGGGAATGTTGTCAGCAGCTTATTGAATCTATGCCATGAAAAATCAAGGACGGCAAAAGGCAGTTCAAACAAGGTGTATCTAATGAAGTGGCCAGTGTATCTATATCTAACAAAAATGTGTCAGTTCATTTCTTTCTTTATATTTCTCCTCTCTCTGTATTGAATAACAAACCGGGGGTAATATGAATGTACTGTTTAAAAAACTGCATTTTACACATTTAAGTAAAAAGCAGAACACTTCACTCGTTGCTCGGTGAACTTTCTGCCTCGGCTCAGCGGAGGCTCAGTGCCATTCCAAGTTGTTTTAATATGTAAAATACTTCCTTTTCCCTCCCTCTGAAATCATTTTCAACAACTGCTGCAAACCGCTGAAGGAGGAGGAGGCGGAATCACAGGAGAGCTCACTACCCACAGCGCTGTAAACACGACATACAAATGTGCAGTGAAACCACGTCCGCGCACACACAAAATACGCACATACGCAGTTATACACGGGGTCGTGTTCCAAACACAACCTGCTTTGTATTAGATCAAATCTCCGGCTCGGACCACACACAAATATTTGAAGCACCCACAAGCAGTTGTGTACATACAGAGTTGTGAGCGCAGCATCGCGTAACACAACAACAAGCACCCATTTTCCAACATTCCCACATAAATGCACGTAAACAAACACGATGACACACAAGGTAAATAGATATTATGTGTTAACATTCATACGCACACACTGATATACTTGTTGACAGGATTTTGAACTTCCCTAATTCTTCCAACCCCCACCCAAAATATCCCCAAGCACTGACCATACACACGCACACACATCTAATCATATAAACACAAATGTACAACCCAGTCAAGCCTTCATTAAACCTTAGAGTTGTACAAAAATCATATACTGAATATTGGTGATAATTAGCAGGAAAAAGGAAAACACACATGCACGCAGACAATCTCACAAACTTCAGTAAACCTCAAACCCTTAAAAAAAAAGAAAAACTTTTCAACCTCCCTCATTAGCATGTTGCTGATATTCAGGGACCCACATTAAGGTAGTATTAATATTACATTTGGAGTCCTGTATAAATATTTGATCAGAAATGCTCGCGGGCCTCATGTATGTTTACTGCACATAGTTCGCCCAACATTAACATCAAGGATTTCCTTTTAAGTATTTGGAATTCAGTATTTCCTTTGAAAATACAGGAAACATTGGTCTGCTTCACTGAGCCCATAAAAACTATAAAATACAGAAAAGAAAAAAAAAAAACAGCAAAAACATAATAGTTGAGTCTTTCCTGCTGTCGATGTGGTAGAAAAACATTTTTGGAGGAATAAAGAAGGAGGTAGTTATTTTATGACTTGAGAAACAACTCTAGAAAATCCCTCAGGTAGAGGGTAAGTAAATTTGGGAAGTAAACAAGGAGTAAAGGCAGCTAAGACCCGTGTGCATGTGTCTACAAACCTTCACAGTGTGAGTTACTGGAAACTAACTGTAAAAACACTGTGATACAAACAGAAAGAAATCGCATCTGTCCTTATGAAGATAAATCATATTTAAAGGGTATATCTAAACCAAAGTGTTTTGGTAATAGTAACAGTGTAAGCATGTGACCTTGAGCCAGAGTTGATCTTGGCAGTGTCTTTGTTTAACATGGTGAACCGTGAGGTCCCGGAATTAAATACTGACGCTCTGTTTCTAAGTCTCATATTCATCTTTTGATGAACTTAACTGATCCAAACTGAGATTTTATTATAGATGAGTCGACTCACATTTAGCTCTGTATCTTAACGGTGCTTTTAACTCGGTGCATAAAACATAACCATACGGGGAAGGGAAATAGAGTCGCATTCCTTTTCTAAAACAACCTCACAAAGCACAGTATGTGGAAAAACATACATTACACTGAGTATCGGTAGCACTTTATGATAATGTCACACTAGTGACAAATTCATCATCACATTAAGCCTCCTTAGTATGCCATTTATAAATAGAAATATTTTACTATGACTACGATTATAATTACTATTAGCTGTGATGTAGTAGCAGTGTTAGCTGTACATGGTGTAATGGATGGGTGGATAAACATCAGTATTTATAAATGGCATACTAAGGAGGAGTAATGATATATAAATGATGAATAAAATAGTTGACAATATTTTACATTACTATTGCTTAAAAGTATGACATTATTATAAAGTGCTACCTGAGTATCTACTGTTAACTGTACTATAGGCTTGTGATTCTTAAACAAACAAGCTCTTAAACAAAATTTAAATGACAATAAACAATTAATTGAACAATGTAATTATTCATAAATATTGATTGATTACAAGCGGAACATCAATGAAAGCGGCCATTTTTAGCTAAATTTGTTCTGTTGTTAAATGTTGTGTTGATAAGCTAAGTGATTGAAAAAGCTCATTGATCCAGCTGAAAAACACAGCCGAAAGCCTTTGTGTTGATTAAAGAAGCATTTGGTTTGGGTTGAGTGATGGTGTCTCCATTTAGAAAAAGCCAAAATGCAAGATTTCATACTATAGTTTGTGATAGTTTGTGAATGACGTAGGACAATCTTTATCTTATGAGTACCTTATAATGACAGGTACTATCCTCACATCCACCTGAGGAGCTACACTATAGGACAAAGATATCGGGCCACAACAGTCTGCCTTTACAAACATTTCTGACAGAATGAGTGGATGGGAAATTCTGACTGGAAAATGTCTTTCCTCCAAGATATTCCAACTGTTTGAACCGTAAGCGGTATTATTGCAAAGTGGAAGCATTTAGTAACTCAGCCGCAAAGTGGCAGACCACGTAAAGTCACAGAGCACGGTTGGTGAGGCGCACCATGTCTAAAAGTTGCCGGTGGTCTGCTGACACAATAAACCACCTCAGGGATTAACATCTGAACGAAAACTGCACCCTGGGAACTTCATGGCATGGACTTCCATAACTGAGCAGCTCCTGGTAAGGTGTAATGTGTAGGTGATCAAGTACCTGTATTTCTTAAACTAGACACTAGGTGTATTTACAGTTGCCCACTGGGTTCTCCTACTTCTCTACTAGGATTTCACAGTTTGCTCTGTTCTGTGGAGAGACATGTAGACACCATTGCATTATACTGTTTTTTGTCTTTTTGGCTATTTTAGCTATTTTTTGGTCTTGTTTTTTCTTTACTATTTTAATCAGAATAGCAATTTTAAGATGGGGGATTTCGGAAGAAGAGGGTTTTTTTAAAGATCAGCTGCCTCCTAAAAGGCTAAACTTGCAACACAATGTGCTACTGAGCTGTACCTCTCCCCATATATTCTATTAAAATAAATATTTTTTAGTCACTTAGACCAGTTCGGATTATTTAAGTGGTCGTTAAAAATCAGATCTGTGAATTTTTTTTTTTTTAATTCACAGATTTTGTTGTAGATTGGGCTTCAATGTGACTGCAGGGTTTTTAATTAGATAACTCTCAGCAGCAATCCCTACGGTATCGCTGTCACCTATTAGCAGGCAAATTCCTACTTGTGTGTGTATGCGTATGTGCAAGTGTGTGAAAGAGAAAACAACAACAGCAACAAAAGAAGAAAATGTGCATGGTCTGTGATAGTGTGCGTGTGTGTGTCTGCGCGTTGTCAGCCATTAGCTGACAAATCCCTGCACCACCTCAATGCTCAGGACCTCAAACAGATACACACACAAACACAGAGACCAAAGAAATTCCTTTTTAAGCTCCACAAACCTTGATGTCAGACATTTGGCAGTGGATGAGGAGTTCCTTAGCTCCACATGAAAACAACCCGTGAAAAAAAAATAAAAAAGGCAATATGTGGGAAAAAAAAACAAAACAAAAAAGCACAAAAAAGGACAGAAGACGAAAAGATGTCTTCTGTCGTCTACCAGACACCAAGGCAGTACTGTCTTTTCTTTTGTTTTTTTTCTCCCCCTGAAGAGTTGGATCACAAAAAAACAAAATAACAGCAATGAAAAAGCTGACAAGTCGGCAGGGGGAACAGTGGCTCTAGAAGTTGAAAAAGAAAGAAAGAGCAAAGAAAGTGCTGGTACTGGGGAGACCTTAACAGCAGAGCTGAGCACACAAAACAGACCACCAGATTTATGCAGGAAACAGAAGGAAGAAGTGGTTATTATGTGGTTGATCACAATGCGTATGTCGGACAAATCTCAATATGACTTTGATATGTCGGTTTACAAAAAAAAAGGCAAATTCAGGATTTTGGTTTCTGCATGCTGGAATCTCATTACATTATGACGTCTTGAGTGGGGACAGGAATATTTAAAAGTTAAACAAGTTTGGAAAGTTTGGACAATGAAACTCTAAATTGGATAGTTAAATGTTTTGTAAAATCAAATAGATGCATGTTAGACCGGGTCATTTTCCATGTATTTGTTTAAGCCAGCCACCTGCCAAACCCCAGTATTGCTTGTAGGACTGGATGCATATGCCAGTCAAATCCCTCAGCAGTTGATTTTAATTGGCCAATTTTGTCCTTTTTCAAAGGACTGTCTCTTTGATGATTCTCCTCGGTAAAGTTCAGTCGGTTATAGTGCCACAAGGTGGTGCCTTCCTTCTTTTTGTTGTGTTGAACGAGAATTGAGAGTTGTACACAGAGACTGAGGAAGGAAGGTAGAGCAGGTTCTCTATCATTTAAAGGTGGTTCACTCTCTGCTCCTCCAGTTCACCTGACGTTTCCCTAAACTGCTCACATGGCATCCTATTGAAGTGCTTTCTTAACAGTTAAAAATGTACTAAAAGTGAATAGATTAAAACACCGAATTCAAGCATGTGAGTGCGAATAGGTGAAGTAACAGCAGGAAAGCACAATATAAATATTGGTCCAATTACCATTCTTATCATGTATGGGTAGCAAATGTAGCATTTAGGAGAGCTACTATTGTATGGTCTATGCTTGATTCTGGGAAAAAAGCACCAATGTGGAAATCTCTATTTCTCTGACCCAGTTAATGCCAGTGCTGGATAAACGATCCCCATGAATAGTCACGTAAAAAAGAAAGTTTTCAAAGGCCTCTGTTCTCCTGTAAATAGCTAAGTACATCCTTAGTGTGTGCATAGGAATTAAGAGGGTAAGCATTTCATGACACTGTCCAGTCATTGTCCAGTCCAGACATAAACTCCTCTGTATACCAAAGTGTTTTGAGGCTAATTTGAGGACATCTATCTAAAGCTTTGCTGAAACTCAATCATGCAAAAGCACAACGATCCCAAGCACGCCACCAGAATGGATTAAAAAAAAAGAGTCAAGGTGTTTCACTTGCTTACTTCCATTTACTTTTTACAGTTTAAAATCTTTAGTTTCAGTTAAACATTTATACGTTTCAGTGTTTAAGTTCTTTATCATTATATGTGTGATACTTATTAGAGGCAAGTTTTAAGAATTTCTGTAGTGGTGTCAAGAACATGTGAAAAGTGGAGTAATTTCTTTAGAAGAGCCACACAGACAGAAATCCAACAGAGATAAAAAGACCTCTGAGCAAAAGTTCACAGCTGTCCAAGTTAATTATGGAGATACATTTTGCTCGTTTGCTGTGGTAGCCTCAAATCTGAAGTTATTAAATGAAGCTCTGGTATCAAAGTTTAACTGCTAGTGTGGTGAAGACTCTGGCAGGGTGTTATAATGGAAAGTGAAAGGAAGAAACAATGTTTCCTCTTCAAAGCGGCACCAATGTGACAGCAAGAGTGAAGTGAAAGTCAAGGTGCCTCCTTCAAAGACAGACAGATATGATGAGAATTATTAAAATCAGAGTTTATGACAGAGTGAAGTAAGTGTCTTGATGCAAGGACACGCAGTATGACAATAAAGGAGAGAGATGAGAGAAATACAGGGAGAATGACGAAGGAAGAAAAATAGGCATGCTGTACTAACCTTGAGGCAAGACTGAGTAGAGCGGGAGACAACGTTCCATTGGAAAGTTAAAAGAAAGGGAAAGAGAGAGAAGGAGAGGGAAAGGTGAGAGGGGAAACAGGAGTTGAGAGCTAGGTTAGCCAGCTTGATCAATCTTCAAAGCACAGGAAAGACATAAGAGACAAAAGAACAGACCGTGAGACATAATTACCCAAAGAGAGACAGCAGGCGGACACTAAGACAAGAAGACAGGCACGACCAAGCAAACAGTTAGGCAGGCAGACAGTCTCATAAAAACAGGTTAGACTCAGGCTTTTCTCCTTCCAGTACAACACTGAGGGCTATGAGAGGCCCGCTCAACTCAAATGAACCCTACAAACATTTAAGGGCACAATGACAAACCATGGAAAGTGAGCAATTAGCCAATCAAAGCAGAAGCTGAGGGCAAGCTCTCTATGAAATATTTCTTCAATGGTTCAGATTTTGTGGATGACTTCTTTTGCTTCCCACTGGGGCCACTTAAACAGTTCACCAGTTGTGGATTTGCAAAATCTCAAGCAAAGGGTAACCAGCATGCAATCATTAAGACATGAAATCTTAAAGAAAATTCATTTCCTAAACTGGCATACCCAAAACGTTTTCCATGCAATAACTCCTCATAACTGACATTGACTGAGCATGCCAGAGACAAATTGTCCATTACTGAGGAATATAACAATAAACTTCTCTAATTTCTCACTACTCAGGTCTACACTCAACTTCTCGCCAAACCTCCTCCCGTTTTCTCATATTTCTCTCTTATCCTTTTCCCATTTCTGTCTTTTCCGTGAGTTCTGTTTTCTGTTTCCCTCTCCCTGCGACGCAGCCCGTTCTTTTCCTTCTCTGTACGTCTCCTCTCGTTATTCTGTTCTTTCTCGCTGTTTTTCTTCTTCCACCACGTTTCTTTCCCTTTCCTTTTTCTGTCCTCTCTACGTTTTCCACTCTTCCATCCAAATCCTTTATTTTGGCCATCAGGGCAGATTTTCAGCCCCATTTCCCCTCAGTGTGAAGTCACTCAGTCTGCTCCAATTACTGTCCTTGTTACTGAAATAAATAACCTGGTGCCATTGCAGCTGGATTTACACTACAGGGGAAACAGAGAGGCTTGATTCTTACCCTTGTTTAACCCACATCTGATCTTTTCATTAGTAATGCTCCCGCTGCTCACTTGTAGCCCAGGGTTAGCCCCGGTGCCAAGCTAAGAGTTGGCCTGTGGCAAATGTATTCTCCTCTGACATACCTGTTAGCTCCAGACAAAGTTGTATAATTCACAGCAGGCTTAGGCAGCTTGAGGATAAAATCAGCATTTGTACATATAAGGTTACAAGGTCATCGCTTGTGTTTCACAAAAGCCTTGTTACAGAATATAAGGTTGCTATGTCAAGCAGGGACTGCAAGCTAATTTTAACCATCTATCTGTTTAGACCAGCAGCTAAGTTAAAACAGCTCACTGGTATCTTGACCTAAATGGTCAGTACTATCCTTCAACTTCAATGATTTATGTCCTATCAGATATAAGCAGCCATAACCGGAAACATCATAATAATCCTTAACATGGCAGTTATCAGACTTCTCCAGTCAAATTTCAAAAAGTAGACTATAAAGACAAAAATGTTATTCTTTCAATTCTGGTGCAAAAAACAAAGCAACTACCCATGCAGTCTCCTTTTTACAAACATTTGTAAAAGAACTGGTCATTTTAAAGTGCTGGCTGAATTAGAGCGTGGTACAATAATAGGACGGCACCGCTGCAACAAGTCAGTCGGTGCAGTCACCATCTGACTTGATGACGTCAGAGCAGGGTAGCATAAGCAGCTCTGTCCCAAGACAGGAAAAAATCAACCGTGGAACTATTTTATATGAAATCTAAGGATTAACGGTTTAAGAGGCAAATCCGCTACCGCTATCACTGCAATCCACATGATATTTAATTGAAATAAAAGTAATAAAAATGATATCCTGACATACCTTTTTGATCTATGTCTAGAAATTTGCGGAAACCTGTGTATACAACACTGCCACAGTAAAGGAGCAGTGCACTCCAACCTACAGAAAATGTACCTCAAAGCCTGTTGCACCAGCCTATCAAAGAGACTGTATGGCTTAATCACTGAAATTAGCCATGGATAGTTTCCCTCATCACACCCCTAACAGCTAAATGAATCTGCTACATGATAAGATGTACAAAGAACTGCATATCCTCTGATATGACTGCTGTACAACACTTCACTTCACAGCAATTACTTTAAGAGCAAGTTAAATTTACTCATACTTAATCTAAAATTTTGTATTAAAGGACACTTTTCTAAGTCTAAATGTAACACTTTTCCACTTACCAAAGAGCAGCTTTCAAACTCCAGATATTAAATATCACTTTTAAGATGCTTTTATTTTATTGTACCCTACTGGGATAATGAAACATCTTTCCATATAAAACCAATCTGCAATTTTAATTGCTTATAAAGTTACTGTATAATGTTGTCTGTAAACTTAGCACTGCTGTAAATCTGCATCTGTGGCTACTGGCAGACTAAACATCACACAAACACACTTAAAACACACATGTTTGAAGTTACCCGGTGCTGAATTATTAATAGTCCTGTATTTCTACTGGCCAAACAGAGACGCAGTGAATCTCCCTGAAATCATTAACAACCATAAATCTCGCAGTCACATCGCTAAACGCACAGACAGAGAAAAGGAGGCGAATCTAGAGTTAGGATGGGTGGAGATTGTGTCCAAGAAAGAAACTGAAGTAAAAGATTCAAGAGACAGCAAGTGAGTAGGCGCTGACAGATGGCATAAGAAAGTTCAGAAATCAAAGGCATAAAAAGCCATACAGAGAGAGGAAGACAGGCGGGCTATAAACACCATCTGGCCCATTTAACCAATGAAGATGAACTCTAATTTCACAAGAGCAATGCATTCTCCATTATTCAACAGGACCAACTAAAAATGCACCAAACACACCCTTAAAAAACTCAAACCACTAATATCGAACTGCTGTCCATAATATAAAGGCCACTGATTCTGCTTAAGCTGTTCTCATAACAAATTTCTTTACGCACTGGGGCTAAACAGACACAGAGGCACAAAATCAAACAGGTATTCAGGTAAACACAGAGTTAGGGAGGCATGCAGGCAGACAGAAGCTACAGGCAGAGAAATAAGCAGAACGGAAAGGAAAGGAAAGGCAGAATAAGAATAGCTAATGAGGTAGACATGTACACAGGCAAGAAAGGTTGAGAGAAAGGTTAATCCAAAATTGCACAGCAAGGTGGAAAAGTAGATAGAAACATCTGAAAAAGAGTCTGAAAAAGAAAACAATTGTGGTAAACTCTGCAAGTCAAGCATCCTCTGCTGAAAGTGAAGCAAAAGTGAAGCGAGAAAACAGAGCCACTAAATGAAAGAGTTGCATCATTGACAGGAACAGAGGCTCAAAGAGTTTCGGTGCTGTACAGAAACTTCGGTGCCAAACTGTGCCCTCATTTTACAAACTTTGGGGAGCTGTTTGGCTTGTCATACTGCAGTAACAGGCGACTAAGACTTTGTGCTCATGCCTAGATATGTAAGAGTACAACTAGCTCCAATTTCTGGACGTGGGAGAGAGAACAGTACAAGTACACCATAACAGAGAAACTCAGCAAGTAGTGATCCAATGCCGCAACTCTTTGATGGTGATTATTAGTGAACATACTCAGCTCTGTCCCATGTGGAAAGGGCTGGCAAATACAAGAAAACCTGACGAGAGAAGATCTTTTTCAGTGTTATACACAACCTATGATAGGTTGAAGAATATGTGTAAGATGCTGTCAGTCAATATTTTTTATCTAATAATCCAGATTTATGAATTTGTTTTGCATGTTTTTCATCTAAAATCCAAACTTCTTGCCCTGTGGCTAATGCTTCATAGCCTTTTCCACATGGGTGGGGGTTATTATCACAGTGCTCTTCTGACAAGCAAAGTGAGTTTCTTTCGTGCAGTGGTCAGACAAATAACTGACTGACAGAGCTGTCAGCCACTCACGTGCCCAGGTAGTCCCATACTAGCCCCCCCATTGGCTGCTGAGAGGCAGCCGGGGCAGGGGCCTGTTTTCGCGACTGCTGAGAACGCCACAGATGAGAGGCAGCAGGATTTCTGGGATGTTACCGGATGTTATGAGCGCAAACACACACAAAAAAAAAACATAAACGCACTCACACCAATGCGAACCAATGTGAATATACACATATTAGTGTATAAACATGAGAATAAGAAGGGGAATGGATGGAGAGATGAATTAGGGTGCAAGAAATAAAGCAGAAAATGGTAGGAGGAAATGGGAAGAAAAAGAGGGAGAGGAATGAGCCTGCGACAACTAATGAGTTCGTCTTACAGGAAAGATCACCAGTGACTCTAATCAGCTTCAGATTCAGTCAGAAAATAAAAATAATGGGTGGTAAAGTGGAATCTGAGACACAGTCTTTCACACAACCTAGAGACAGGTCAGTGACACCCTGACAACCATAGGTTGCTAGGGAAAAATGTGTATTCCCTGATCGATGAGTGAGTGAGTGAGTGGCTGTCACAGTCGCAAAGAAGGTATTCCACCAAAAATCTCTTTGGTTGCTAGAACACTGCTTTAGTCACCTGTAGTTTGCATCCAAGACGCCGATTTTGCAAACACTCATCATTATTCTCAGAGCTTTAGTGAAAGGAGAATCCTGGAGAACATCTGCTTGCAACAGTTTTTTCCATGCAAACTACTGGCAACCACAGCAACCTGCTACAGACTAAAACACTCATAGGGAGGTTTTCAGCGCAGCACCGTTTGCTTTTTTGTGATCAATTACATGCTAGTGGCTACCAGCAACCTGTCATGGAATTTACTTTTCTCTAGCGAGTGGTGGTTACCAGGGGGTAACTACTGTAACTGGTCTTTAGACCAGCATGAATGAGGCTTTAGCAACTGATTTCACAGTCACTGCCAGCAAACTCCAGTAGCCCCTTACAGCCAGTGGAGGAATACTAATTTTTCCCTCGGGACCAATCTCTAGGCCTGTGTGACTGAGCCTTAGATAAACAATCATTTCACCAATAAACACAATTTATCCATTGATTTAGGTTAAAGGAAAGAGATACACAAGTATTAAAAGAAAACTGCTCAGTGTCGATAATTGTTTAATCTTTCATAATCATATTTATCATCCTTTCTTACCTCTCCAGTTCATGAATCTTTTTCTCCTTGTCATTCTTTTCATTCTCCATCTCCCTGAGGATCTCGAGAAGTCGTTCCACCTCAGATTGGGCCTTCCCAGCCTCCTCTTTGCACCGGGTCACTTCCTGCTCAAGGCTGGAGATCCGCTCAGAGAGTTCAGTGTTGGCCTGAGACTCTGCCGCTGCATTCTGAGCCTGGAACAGGATTTAATTATTAAAAATAAACCAAGTGTTAGCTTTCAAAATGAGGCGACCATCACGCGATTGAAACGATAAGCTCAAACCAAAAACGGACGTGCCAGTAACAACATGTGTGGAGGGTGAGCTGGATGGATTTTAAAAAGATGCATGCTTTTAGAAATTTTTAGTGGAAGTGTTCCTCTTAAATAAAATGACATTTAGCTCTAAACATCAGGCTTTAGCGGTAAGATACAATATTTGTATATATCAGATTTTAGATACTGTATTTACAGTAGCATATAAAGCAAACTGTTGAAATAGACACAACAGTATCGTAGAAATTATGTACAAAGCATGTTACACATTTTTTTAAAGGGCTCTAATTGTTTCCAAATATTCCTAGTGTTTTTTCCATGTTTTCCACTCCAAAAACCTTGGATAAAAAGCAAATTTTTCTGTTTATTACTAGCGAGAAATGTGAAGGCCTGTGCTGGATGTATGTGCACATCCTTCACCTTAATTTAGCAGATAAAGTCTGAACAACAATATTTCTTCAGTTCTGAGCAGTCTCATACTCAGCGAAACACAATACTGTTTTCTTCTGAACATTCCCAACAGGCGTCTATGATGCCAGGGGACAAACAACACAGGTTTTGTGGCATAATATAAATTTTCATTAACCATTTGTATTGCAATGGCTTCATTCTAGTTTTAGCTGATTGTTTGGGGGACTTTAAATTCTCAGTCAGCTTACTGTATTTTTTCTTTTTTTTGGTCCACATGTCTCTAACAAATCTATGATGGCCTCTTATAAACTTTTATAGATTTTAGATTTTCAATTGTAAGATTTTCAAGACTAGACAAGTGCGGTTCCGATGCTAAAAGCTTATATTTGTATCAAATTAATATTTAAAGTAATGACTTTTAAGAATGCCACATATTTGACACAATTCACCAAATCTAAGAAAGATGTCATCTAATAAACGTCTCCTATCATTTTTACACCCATGTCAGACGATATTTTTAAACCACCCTCTGCCCTAACTGCTCTGAAATATCTGTTTCCCCATGGTAAGGAGAAAGGAATGATGAGGAGAATATAATATAAATGAAAGTATTAGGCATATGTGTTTCACACACTCGCAAATTGGCACACATATAACATTAAAAAAAAAGACAAAACCACAAGTTTCTGGTAAATATTAGCATGAACGATGAGAAAAGGTGAATAAATTTAAAAAGCATCTAAGTTTTAGTGGCTCTCTTCTTTCTTCTGCTCTGTTTGTCTAAACATAAGACACAGAAAATGTGAGAAGAAGAAAGAAAAAAAACAAATACAAATACAACAAGTTATAACCAGCTTAGAGGTTAGAACAGCTGTGTATATTTCCCAGAAGTAAATGTTGCTCTTGGGATGGACTTAGTATGTGTGTGTGTGTGTGTGTGTGCGAATGCCTTGCTCCTACAATACATAAACCCTATTAGTTTTGGAAGTGTACAACAGTTTTCATAAGTCTTTATGTGGAGAGGAAATGTTTGAGAAGATCTGGGTGGAGCAGAGACAGAGAAAGACAAATAAAGGAAGAAAGAAACATCACGCACACAATGTCACATTCAGAATTTTTCCATCCGCGTTACAGTAAAAGAAAGAGACTGAAATCAAGTCTGATGAGTAAAACACCACACGTTCCCCCTTTTCTCTCACACACACATATAACAACACACATGCATCCAGAAACACACACGACTCTGGATACACATTCGGCATGTGATGGTGTGCTGTCTTCACCAGTCTGTGAAAGTGACTGTAAGGCTGTCAGCAAGCTGTCACACACACAACATTTTATGGGCTGCTGTGTGGGAGAGAATACGTATGTGATATGCACACACACACACGTGCACGTACACACTCTCTGCCTTCCTAGGAAGGCGCAAAAAGAAATGAGAGGTTAGGTTTGGTTTTCTGCTGTTTTCCTGCTTTAACTGTAGCTACTCTAAACAGCTTTTCACCTCTGAGTTTCATGCAGTAGATAATCTTGTAGTCGTCAGGAACGAGCCTAGAAAATTCCACCTGCTTTTGTCTAAATGCGGCCGACAACAGGTGACATAAAATGCCTCGCTCTCTCTTTGAAAGCATCAGCGTTTTTGCTTTCATAGCTCTATGAATAATTTGCAATTTACTTTATATTTACAGCCTTTTCAGCTAACCTTCTTTAGTTGGTTCTCCAGCTTGATGCACTCCTCTTTCTTCTGCTCCAGGTTTATTTCCAAACTTTTCAGCCTGTTCTCCTTCTTGAGAGTCGAGGAGGCCAAAGAGGAAGCCTTCTCCTTGAGATCCAACACTGATGTCTGGGTGGATGAAAAATAGTTATTACTTACTTAGCTTATTCTTCACACCCATTAGAAAAAAACAATGGATTAATTTAATTTTTTTATTTTTTCCAACCTATAACAATAATGTTATATTTAGCAAAAATAATTATTATGAGGTAGGGAAAAAACATTTGTGTGCTTCTGATTATATTACAGAAAGAAATTCCTATTCATAATATATGATATTAGACAAACAGATTTAAAGTGATAATAATCTGTAAGCCCTTCTTAAACCCTTCGGTCATGTACTCTGTCATTACATTTCCTGTGACCTGTCTCTTTTCACACTCTCAGGCTCAATCCGTCTGTCTGTGAAGTCTCTCTTTTTCTTTCTTTTCTTGGGATTTCCTCTTTTGGTAGGCACAGTGAAACAGAAACCAATGAGACCAGAAGGAGACACTGTCAGACATGTAATTTTACCCATGACTGACAATAACAACTCTAGACTCCGGATCATCATGTTTGACTGGGCTTTGGTCAAAGAAACCTTGCTCTGATTATATTTAGGTACACATATATACTCCTGTTGTCAGAGAAACCCCACATCTGCGTTCAACAGCAGAGAGAGGAATGCTTGTTTTCTCTGAGAGTTTCCCATGTATTTCTGAAATTATATTATAGGACTGTGACAGGTTTTATGACCCCACAATCACTAAAATTAGTTTAAGGAATACAGTACAGTCAGACAGGGTACAGAGAACTTTTTACAGTAACAAGTAGTTCTTGGTTTTCTTATGTTTTTGTATTTTGTTCTTTATTCATTCCATGGTTCCTAGGTTGTTCAGTTTAGTTTACTAGATTTCCCCTCGTGTCTTTACCCCCTGTGTCCCCCTCCACATGTCTGAGTCCCCATGCCTTGTTTCTCCTCCTTGTGTTTTATTTCATGTTTTCCCCAGTCCGCTATGCCTGTGTTCTCATCCCCTCTGGTCTGCGTCTCTGTGTACTTCCTGTTTTACTTTGATAGTCTCCCGTCAGTGTACGCCATTGTCGTGTTTACTCCTGCCGTGTCTCATTACGATTATCAATGTCACCTGTGTTCCCCGTGTGCTCCCACTTCCCTTGTTAACCATCTGCGTATTTATGTCTGCGTCTTCCTCAGTTCTGTGTTGTGTTCTCCCTCATGACTGTGTGCTTCCTCGTGAGTCAGTTCCTTTAGAATATCCCAGTTTAGTTTAATATTATTATTATTAATATCTTTAACTTCTGTCAGCAATAAAGCTGTATTTTGAGTTCAGTCCTGTTTCCCGTGAGTTTGCGTTTGGGTCCAATTCCTGCCTGCACACAGCCTAATTATGACACAGCCGATATCATTCTACACATCCAAATGTGATTGCTTTACCCTGCTTACAATTCTTGCTCCCTCTGCAAGCAGCTTTGCAACCCACCTCAACCCCAGCTCCTCATTTTCATGCTGCATCTAACTTCATCAATGTCATGTCTGATGCCTTCACTGTTTTTGTACTGGAATATTCCCACCTTGTGTCTTGTTTTGCTATTGGTTTCTTCCCTTTAAAGGGTTTTTTTCCTTCCCACTGTCACCAAGTGCTTGCTCAAAGTGGGTCATTTGATTGTTAGGGTTTTCTCTGTATTATTGTAGCTATGTTACAATACACAGTGCCTTGAGGGGACTCCTGTTGTGATTCTGCATTAAATAAAACAGAACTGAAATTGAAGACAATCCTTTACAATAGAAAACTGCATTTCTACATGTATTGCTCTCTAAAGTTTAATTCAGAATCAACAATTAACCTGACATTCATTTCTCTGGACCGTGGGAGGAAGCCGAAGTACCGAGAGAAAACCCAGAAAATTACAGGGAGAACATGCAACGTCTACCCAGAAAGGCCCCAGTCGCTCACTGGATTAGACCCTTATATGCCTTAGTGAAATAACTAAGGCACATAGTTAAATTTGCTCTTACTGCAAATCCTGCAGTAAACAATAGTTTAGTTTTTACGGTGTCCCTTCTGATAGTTGCGTTGCTTCTTAATTTGCTTTCTTGCCTTGACTCATGTCAAGCTGACATCACCTTGGAATAGTTTTGCTTAAATGATGTAGGTGGGTTTATAGAGCTCAAAATCGGCATAACAGGTCCCCTTCTAATCTCAACTTCATGAATTGGCTAATAGTAACTTTTATTCTGTTGTGCTGCAGGGTGAATAAAGAGAAAACAGAGTCTGAGAATGCTTTGTCATTCTCTGCATCTCTCTGTCTTTGCCTCTGCTGAGGTGTTTTGTACAAATCACAAAGGTCACAGGCAGAAAAATTCAGCTCTGATCATTGTTTCTTTTGGTTGTGGGCCTTGGATTTTGTTGTCAGGGAAACATGACTGTTTCATCGTTGTCCTTCAGCGAAAGAACTCTGGGAGGATTCAAGGTCTGCTCTACAGTGATAGATCAATCACATTTTCTTGACAGGAACAGTGAGGAAGGAGAGAGAATGTGTTTTTCTGACTTTTAGCACAAATATGGACGTGTGTTTTTAAATTCCTGAGTGTGTCTTCTACCTCACGGTCAGCCAGTTCAGCCTGCAGCTGGGAGACTTTCTCCCTCAGCTCTTTCAGCTCCTTCTTGATGGTCTCCACTTCCTCCCCCTTTTCCCGCTCCTCCCTTTCCCGCTGCTCCTTCAACCGCTCAATGATTCGCTCCTGGAGTGAAAAGAGAGAAAGGGAGAGAGAAGGAAGGAGATTGGAGTGAAAGAAGGTAGTCGAGGTAGAAGAAGTGATGGAAAATAAGAGAGGAAAAAAAATCACCTCATACCCTCCAACAGTCATTCACAGTCACTCAATATCAAGTTTCTATACTAATAACAGTCATATTAAACTTTATGTACATGGCAGCTTTGACAGGCTCTAACAGCCAACAGCGATTTTAGGCCCATAATATGTTTTGGCAGAAGATGTAAAATTCACAACCACTAAAACACAATAACCGATCTCTATAGCTTGAGAAGAACATAGTAGCCCGTTCAAGTCAAAGTACAAAAGTTCACACGTGCAAAAGCAGTGCAAAGAGTGTATACTGGATCTGCAGTCTGTGTTATTAAAATATTATTATTATGGGTCCTCATTTGACTTGTACAAAATAAAAGCGCTTTGGGCAAAGGTTAGTTTAAGGTTGACTTTAGAAGTAGTGTTAAATCTTACTGCAATAAATTCAATCTCTAACTCTCATCCTATATTATCAGGGGTTGAGCTATCAAACCTGGCACACAGATGCGTCTTGAATGTTCTTATGTACATCAGATACTATGATCTCACCATATTGCCTAACATTGACCTGTTGAATGAGATAACATGAACCTTTTTATCATTTATGCATCTGTAACACTATAAAAGCATTGCATCTTTCTAATTTTACAACAACAGCATCTCACTGAAATCCTCAAAGCTTGAATATTATCATGGTTACTAAGCAGTCACTTGGATCTTAGATACACCTGCTCAACTGCTCATTAACACAAAAACTTAATCAGATAATCACATGGCAGCAACACAACATATTTAGATATACAGACATGGTAACAATTACCTGTTGAAATTCAAGCCAAGCATTAGACTGGGGAAGACATGTGATCTAAGTGACTTTGAATGTTTCATGGTTGTAGGTGCCAGACAGGCTAGTGTGTGTTTCAACACTTGCTAATCTATTGGGATTTTGCCACACAATCATTATAGAAAATAATATGAAAAAGAGAAAATATCCAGAGATTGACATTTCTCTGGATAAAAATGCAGTTTTGATGCCTGGAGATCAGAGGAGAATGGCCAGAATACCCCAAGCTTATGGGAAGGGAACAGATACTTACAACCAAGGTATGCAGAACAGCATGTCTAAATGTGCAACACGTCGACCCTTGAAGCAGATAAGCTACAGCACCAGCAGACCACACAGGGTGCCTCTCCTGTCAGCTAACGGGCAACTGAGGCTATAGTTTCCATAGAAAAAAGAAGATTGGAAAAACAGTGCCTGATCTGACGAGTCGCAATTTCTGCCACGACATTCGTATGGTTTCCTGAACATGACAATGAGTTCGCTGTACTCAAATAGCCTTCAGAGTCACATCACGGACATCCAGCTGACAAATCTCTGTGATCCTGGAATATTATTTTCACCATATTGTCGCAATGCTATGAAGAATTAAGCAATTAAAGAATTAAATAGTTACTATACAATCACTCTTATATTTCTCTTCCATCTAATTCTCTACCACCTCTATTTTTTCATATTTTGCACCTTGCACTTTAATGGTTAAACTCAATAGTTTGTAAAGACAAACCAATGAGGGTCTTCCTTAGTCAAGACTTTAATTAATTAATTAATTCTGGGTTTATTGGTTTTCATGAAGAATACCACTGTAACATCAACATTCTTCAAAATAATTATGATAACAGAATGAGGGATGCAAATATTTCAGTCACGGTTGTTTCTACCGTTTAAAGAGACAAAAATACAGAATATACCTGCAAACACCATCAAACATGAGTAATATTGTGCATAAAACTCAAGCACTGGAAAGTTAAAATGCAACATAATTCATCTCAGAAGCAGAAGAAGAAACGAAAGCAGGGCAAGGAGATAAAAATGGATGCAGAAAGGAAGAAAGCTAAAAATGAAAGGCGCCAGCAGAATGAAAATGAGAGGGAAAAAAGCTTGTGAAAGCCGTGTGAGTGAAGCAGGAGTCGTCGGCCACATTATCCTGCCAACACTCACACGTCTAACTGACACCCTCGATATTAGTCACTGGACAATTAATAGGCCTGTTTCCTGTGCGCGTGCAAATGCAAAGGAGATTGAGTTGGTAACATAATCGTGCATAACACCGCAAAAATATATTCTCATCAAACACTTTAAAGTGTTCTGCCGCTCTAAATGTCGCTGGTTAGATTCCCAGAATCAGGGTTAAATCCCCACTGAGAGCAGAGTCATAAAACAGTCGGCTCTGTGGCTAAAGTACCTGAACGTCCAGACCCAAAGAGTGACCAATGAACTACTTTGAGCCATGTGGCTGCACATTGGACAGTTCCTAATCTTTTATGAACACAAGCTCTGGATGATTTAATAATGAAACAGCCAGTGTGATTATTGGTCGATTTCCATTTATCCAGAGCCATCTGGTCATCGTGTGGGTGGTCTGCAGTTTTGCTCATCAAGATTTTATTAATGCAACCTTGCTCAAGAGTTAAACGGTCGGGTGAGCGTGTACGTGCATGTGTGTATACCTTCTCAGCCAGAGCCTCCTCCAGTGTTCCCAGTGCAGTGTCTGTGTTTGAGGTGTCTGTCTGCAGAGACTTGACTCTGTCTTTCAAGCCACTCAGCTGTTTTTCTTTATCCCTCAGTTGATCCTGGAGGTTCTCTATCTGCAGAAAGAAAAGGAGAGAATAATTCTGTGGGGTTTTCAAGAATAATTTGTGCATTGACCACTCAGTGAGATTTTGTTGGCAGCTCTATTAGCTCTAAGACTCAGCCAAAGTGAAGTACTGTAGCAGGTGCTTTTAAGTCCACAGGAAACTGAACTTCTGCAGAAGAAATGCAGATATAGCAGCACATCTTAAACATGTGGACAAAGTGTGTGTGCCCATGTATCAATCTACATAAGCAACAACTTGAGCTTCAGGCAAGTCTGAGGCTCTTTGAGGGTTCAGGTTAAACTGCAGGGTGAAGGTTAGAATTACTGTAGGCTGGGGTTAGAGATCGTTTAGATGTGACTGCACAGGGAAACCATTATGTAAATGAGGGTCCTCACAAAGCTAGAAGTACCAGCATTTGCGTAGCTCTCTGTGTGAGAAAAAGGAAGGCGGGACAGAGAGTGATCACAGACAAAGATAAGAAGTTATGTCAACTTTGTGGTCTTTGTTAAGAAATGGATGGAACAAAAGGTTGAACCATACAGAAATAACAGAATCAGGAGGAAAATAGAGCTTGAAAGCTTATGTAATGTCTTCATATGAGTGAACTTGGGTGGGATTATTGCACAATTTCAATCTCCCTCTCTTTATGCTTCTCTTGCCTTCCCCTTGCCAGAGAGAAAGTTAATCAAATGATTGGCAAACTCTCACAAAAAAAGACTGGAGTCAGATTGACATCACTGCAGGTGAGACACACACACACACACACGCAGCACTACTAAAATTGTGAGCATGTGTGTGTGTGTGTGTGCTTGTGTGTTCATACAGTAAAACATTTCCAGCACCTCATTAATCAACTGTTGACCTGACAGGTTGACTGACACGTTCTCCACCTCCTCCTCCTCTCTGTCTCCTGTCTCACACATGCACATACACACATATGTGAACACACACTTGACATTGAGAGGCAGTGAGAGGCTTTGATCTGCATTTCCTGAACCTGACAGACACACACACACACACTCACTGATTCTCTCTTGTCCTATTTTAGTTCCCAAGTCATCTGTGATAATGACCCAATACAAAAACAATGATCAGCTATGTCACAATGTTCCTCGCAGCAGAAATCATCTGTACTATTAAAACACGAGGCAGAGGGACACAAAACGGAAAGAAGGTATTTTTTGTGTTTTCACATGAAAAAAGGCACCAAATTCATATTTTTTTCCCAGATGATATCAAGAAGGAATCAGCAGCATCTCTGCCTCCCTATCAGGCTCTGAACTGTTTTCCATTTGAAGATGGCAGAGGTCATCATTTATTAATCAAGAGGAACTCATTAGTATGCATCTAATGATTTTAAACACACTCTGTCTCTCTCCTCCCCCTCCCTGTCTTGCTTTATGTCTGTCTGCTTGATTGTCTGTATCAATTATCTGCACACAGTCTCCATTTCTACATTTTTTTCTACAGGACACAAATGCTGCGACTGGGTGAGGGAGAAAATTAAGACGCAGAAAAGACACAAAAGACTGATGATGGAGGAATGCAACCTCGCACTGGCTTTTCTGTAAGCTTTGCACTTACTGTGTTAGATGCAGTGGCCTAGATGGCTGCAAGAATCCTCCTTTAGATATCACCATTCAAAACAACTACAATAGCTGTTATGGTAGTTTGCTTAAATTGTCTTATTCCAAAAGCTCTTCCACCAACATATCTGACAAGCACAAGAGTTTTTAGGATAGCAGGGTGAATGTGTGTGTGTATATGTGTTTGTGTAGACAGCCAAGACAAGGGGTCACTCTGGCCCATCCATCTAACTGACAGCATTACCGCAGAGATACTCACAAAAACTACATAGTGAAGACCAGGAAAAAGTATGCAGAAAACACCAGAGACTTCAGTTTTGCCTAAACGGCCTGTCTGTGTGCAGCTGTGTCTTTCTGCTCACCTGTCTGTCTGACTGTTTGTCTGTCAACGTTTGCTTCCATGCTACATGCTGTGTTAGAGCCCCATCTAGTGGTCATAGTATTAAATGTTGGCATATTCTCAGAACACATTAAATGTTATCAGCATGAAAAGGAGTAAAGGTGTGTCTGCTTCAGCTCTAATGCATGTTATCCATTATCCAAAAAGTCTGAATATCGCAGTTTTCCTCTGGACACAAAGAGATATTAGAGGTAATGATGATGCTGGTTTATTTGGAAGAAAGCTAGTACTATGAGGGCAACATGACCAGAATCAGCTAAAAGAAAAAAAAGTACACTGCCTCAATAGGCAGTGTACTTAATGATTATTAAGGATAACACTCCATAAATGCTCACCCTGTAACATTTTAAACATAATACAGATGCAGTGCATTAACCCAGGACTCTACAATTACTGGTTAGCTCAGACCTAAAACAGGGATCACAAGGACTTCAACTTTGCTTTATGTGTCTATATTAATGGAGTGCATTTTGTGTGTTCTCACCTTCTTCTGTAGAACATTAACTTTGCGTTCCTTGACGTCCATCATGTCTTTGAGGTCAGTGATCTCTCCCTGCTGAGTGCTTTTCTCCTCCGTCAGCTCTGAGATCTGCTGACTCTTTTTAGAGAGGAGCGACTCCTTTTCCTCCAGTCGGAGACGCAAGGCATCCACCTGTGAACCCACAAGTAGGTACGCAAAAGTGCAAATAAACATTCACACACCAAATATCAACGGCGAAGCAGAAAGGTTGTAATGAGGGTGTAGCTAAACCTCAGTCTGTAGTATGGCAGCTCTCTGTTCCTTGGCGGTTAGTGACTCTTTGAGTACATCCACATGTTGTTTGCTGTCAGAAAACTGATTGTTCAGAGTGTCCAGTTTGGTCCTGAGAGCCAGCAGCTCGCTGTCCTTACGGCTCAGCTCTTGCTTGGCCTGTTCCATCTGAATAACACAAAATATAAAGGGACAGACAGATAAAAAAAGAGCGTGTAAAGGTGTGTACTGGAGAGGACGATATGCTTTCTAATATCATATATAAGCATTAAAATGTACTACAAGCTTTGCAAAGTAAGCACTCAGTCCTAATGTTAGTTTTAGCCATTACTCTGCAGAAGACCAACTGTAAAAGAAGAAACAGGTACAATAATAAGAAGTGCACGCAGCTGACTGATAATGCTTTTAAGATACAAATCTTTTTTTAAATGCACAACTTTACTGCTTTATTCAGAGGGAAAAGAAAATGTACTTGTTAGATATTTTATTAAGGCCTGCAGACACATCTACCCTTTACGAGTAAAAAGAGATGATGGTTGCGGTGATGGAGAGAGCTACAAGACTGCTACAGGTTTACCTCATCCACATAAAAAGTGAAAAACAAGAACAGACCGTGGTTTTAAACTCATCCCTCTTACAAAGGTTAGTGTGTCAGTTTATCTCCTAAAGCTGTGACTTTGATCAAATATATCTTGACACAATGAGGACCTTAAAAGAAAAGAACGGCCATTTATTTTAGTTCTTCTCCTGAAAAGTAAACAAAAGTTAGACATACATGGAAGTCAGTGCAGTATTAATCTATTTTGCTCTTAGCTATACACTTCAACTAATGGGTCAGGGTCAATTCTTTCACCTGGCCAAAGCTCAGGAATCAAACTGCCACATTTGGAGAAGTTGCGTATTACAATTTCACTCCTTTTTAACATGGAATTCAGTTTGCAGGTGTTGTGATTAGGGGTGAATTTAACATGACACAGTACAAGAATGGACCCAAACCATACAGTAAATCGTCTGTGAAGGTTCTCAGTCATCCAGGTCATCGTAGTCAAAGGAGCTTGCAAAGAAAAGCGTCTGGGCTTCTTTAAGTTGCTTGAAGACGTTTCACCTCTCATCCGAGAAGCTTCTTCAGTTCTAAGGTCAAATGGTGGGGAGTCCCAGATTTAAACCTAGTGACTCCCACTAGGTTTAAATCCCCCCACAGAGGGACAAAAGGACCCCCACACCTTTCGCACCTTGGCTCAGGTGATTAGAGGATCATCAGGGGGTCCTTTTGTCCCTCTGTGGGGGATACTCCCACTAGGTTTAAATCTGGGACTCCACCATTTGACCTTAGAACTGAAGAAGCTTCTCGGATGAGAGGTCTTCAAGCAACTTAAAGAAGTCCAGACGCTTATTCTTTGCAAGCTCCTTTGACCCATACAGTAAATCAGTCATATAAAAGCAAAGCAAACCCAGGAGCAAAGTGGTCTAAACTACAAATGGACTGAAACCTCATGCAAGGACAAAGAGAAGTGTGTTAGTGATACAGACACTGCAGCACAGCACAACTGGACTCTGCTGGAATTCTGTAGCCGTATCATTCAGACTGCTGCGTACGACTATTACTATCAAAAGCCACTGATCTCACACACAAAGAGAACTGCAGTGACTTCCTGAGCTGTTTATAGAGACTAACTTTGTCAGCTCACCAAAATAATAGAAAATGCTTTCTCTTGGTGTATTTTGCAAAGTGTAGAAAACACATTTGCTAACCCAGGTTTTGAAGAATGGCTAGATTCATTTTAGACTGGCTTTAAACTTAACCTCATGTCTTGAACTGGTTCAAAACAGTTATAGGATTCAGATATATATATGCAAAATGGACCATGTTAATGGCAATATGATGCAATAACTACATGAGAAAAATAAGTACACCTCATGAGTGGATATTGGGTGAATGGTCCACGATGCTCTCTGCAGCTGGTGTGCATAGTTTGGACATTTGAATGTTATAGTTGCTTACTGCTGTCTGAACACACAGCATGCTATTGGGAATCTATTGGAAATCTACTAGAACTACGTTAGCCAGTCAAAGAAAGGAAGAAAGAAAGAAAGAAAGAAAGAAAGAAAGAAAGAAAGAAAGAAAGAAAGAAAGAAAGAAAGGATGCGCAAACAGACACAGAGGTGTGTCTCTTACTGCCGACACCTCCTGCTGAAGCTCATTGGCTCGTTGCCTTAGTTCCTCCTTCTCTGACTCGCTGTGAGTTAGCTCTTCCTTCAGCTGCTCAACCTGGCAGGAGAGGAGGGCATCAACATGGGTGCTTCCCATTAGCCAAGCTTTGCTTCTTGCTTCCCTTACTTGTGTTTCTTCCTTCCCTCTAACCTGCTTCCAATAAGTCAGAGGTGTGAGGGCAGCATCAGCCTGCAGTTTATCTTATCATTACTACCATTAGTATTAACATAAGTAACATTACAGCCTCTGCAGGTACCTCCGTTCCTGTTGTGTGCGTTTTGCCTACAGTATTATAAATAATACCGTGTTATACTGAACTGCTTCCACAACAGCCTGCCTGCTCCTTTTACTGCCCCATCAGATCAGCTGACCACTAGATAAGCGCATGTTGACCGAAAGCTTTTGCTGGGAGCATCTGCTCTTCCAGCTTATTCCAAAAAATGCATTAAAAGGATTAAAAACTCCAGATAATGGTGTTTCTTGAATCAATTTTGGAGTGAGTGGCAGAGCTTTGAAGAAGGGCAAACATCTAATTAGCAAAATGGAGAGCACACCGGGCCATAACAAGTATGTTGCCACAGTTGCATCTGGCATGCTTAAATAATGTATATAACCCCTACATTGTTTTACAGTACTGTGTCCTTTGAAGACTTCTTACTGGAGCATTTCTGAACATGTGAAGAAGCGTGCATTATCTTTATTTTGATTAACCAATGAAATGGCTCTTTGTTGCTATTATTAAAAGCTTTGATTGAGGAGAGCTTTACACCTTCGATTAAATACACGTTAAAGCTAATAATGTCCAAAACAAGAATGCATCTAGTGTATTACCACAGATATGCATGCCAACAGCAAGGAAATCCAACTATAAAAAGGTACACCATGTAAATTACTTCCTTCCAGTTTTGAGACACAAATCCACTACAGAGAAAAACAAGAATATATCAGCTCGCGCACACAAAAAGTCTGCTGAATTTCCAAACTGGATCGCCTCCCCACACGACAGACATATACGGAGTTTCCGTTTTAATGAGCACGGCTCCCACAGACACTCTTTATTCCTGACAGTGAAGTTGTATCCGTCAAGGTAGTGAGTGTGAAAAAGCAAATTTATTCTAAGCTAAGCAAGAAAATCCAGATATTGTTCAAAACACAAAGGGAAAAAATGGTGAGACAAGCAAATACAACCAGACCGGCAATAATGGAGCAAAAACACTTTTTTTTCTTTAGTCTCCAGCACATTGACTAAAATTTGACAAGATAGAGCAGCGTAGCCCTTTTAAATCATACTGGGACTTAAAAGGAAGTAAATACACAAGGTCAAACAAATCCTACATGCTAACTATTCTATTTAGAGTCCTTTGATAGATATAAGGATATATTCTTATTATTGTTTATATGTTTATTTGATGGTTTCCCTTCACTGCTGCCACCTTGTAGCTGACAGAACCACTGCCATGTTTGAGAGATGAAACGGTTTCATATTTCCCTAAATTATTATAAGGTTTGTATCATTTTTTAAACTGTCACCAGTGAGAAGTTTGAATATTTCTCACTTTGTTTGAAAAGTGTGTCAATTTAAATGTAATTTAATCTCACTTGAGGCAGTAAAGAACTGAATGAATGTCTGTACGAGGTTTGGCTGTTAGTTTGAGATATCAGTCTATATAAATCCTTGTGAAGCTCTTTTAGTTCCTATGACTTCCAGGGAATTCCTATGTTGTGAGACTTTATCAGCTGTTTGAGCCCCACTGCTACCTTTCAGACTTGCATGGTGGCCTCGTTACTCTATTTACAGGCAATTTGTCCTCAAACTTAACAACTATTCTCAACTCTTAATCAGTTTAATGCTGTATCCATTATTATGTTTCAGTTACTGTCTGGACTGTATGTGTTTGTACATTTATCACCTTGTTCTTCATGAACTTGGAGTGGGATCTGTAGACCTCCATCTGTTTGATCTCCTCCTCCCTCTCTTCACTGCTCAGAGCGCCATTGGATTTCAGCATCATCACCTCCTCTTCCAGCTCTCTCATGCCACGCTCCAACGAGCTGATTTTTGCATCCTGACAGCAGACAAACACATCTAACTAATCAGACCATAAACAAATAAACCAGAAATATACAGTGATAATAAAATGGGGTGAAATAGGAGCAGAGGTGGAAATGCAATTAAAGGAAGTCTACGTGAAAGTAATGTAAATGTAACTATTGTCGAATGCTTAAAGACTTTATCTAATAATCCATTATGTTTTTAAAATACTTGAATCTGTATCTCAATAATAATCAGTGAAGCCCAACAGACATAGCAGTTGGCCAATTTTATCTTGTCAATATTAACTGCAGAGACAGAAAGACTTTCAACAGAACGTAACAAAAAAGATGCTTTAGGTATGTTTTTCCAGCAGGTAGTAGAACGCATTTAGAGGTCAGAAACACGAATGTCCAGTTCATGCTGTGTGTTGGATAAACCTCCGACTGAGATTCTGAAAAATTATTTGTTTTCTTCTTTTGAGTCTAAAATGTTGTCCAATGCAACAAATACATTAATATATTTAAAGTCTTGTTTAGTGAAACTGCACTTCATGGTGTATTTGTGTCTATTCTTTACCTTATTTTCCATCATATTTACCCAGCAACCACATTAAACTTTTCATTAACACTATTAATAATCAGCAAATCATATAGCAGCAACTCAGTGCATTTAGACATCGATGAAGACCAGTGATAGTCCCAAGTATTTGGACTGTGTAATTCATTCATGCTCTAGCAATCCTATGTCATTAATAGCTATAATATCCACATAATATGCACATTAAATACAGCACTACAGAATTAGCAGCATTTCAGATAATTTTTTTAACAATTTGTATTGTTGGGGTCAAAATAATCCTCTATAAATGTAGACATAAACTTAAATCCCTGTATATAGATATATACAAACACATTTCTAAATTACATTAGCATTTGTTTACCTTCATTTCGATGACTGTCTGCAGGGCCTTGGTCTTTGTTGATTCTGGAGCTGCTTCGTATCTCCTGTGCAGCTCCTGAGAGGCACAAACAGCACGATCAGCAGATGACAGAGAGGGAGACACAGCGGGATGGAGCGAGGGATGGGGCAAGAGAGGAGAAGGTCGAGGGCCAGGAGGCGAGACGAGAGCAACTGATGGGAAGGGATGGAGTGAGGGCTGAACCGTTGGTGTAGGCCGAGGAGCAGGTGCAGGAAAGGATGGCGAGTGCTGGAGGGACGGATGAGCGGAAGGGTGGACAGAAGAGGCAAAAAAGAAAGAGGGAAAGTGGGGAGGACAAGAGGAGGGGGTGGCAACTGGATGGTTGTAGTGCCGGTGAGAAGGAGGGGAAGGCACAGGGAAGGAGGGAGACGAACGCAAAAGGTGATGCCGTGATGGGGAGAAAGCAGGAGAGGGCTGGAAAGGGGGTGACACATGGAAAGGAGGGGGAATAGGGATCGAGGGAGAAACAGGAAAGGAGGGAGATTCAGCTAGAGGTTTCCCTCTAGGAGAAGCACTGGCTTTTAGCCTCCTTGGATCAATCCGGCCATCCCACATCATTTGAACTACTTGAAACAGCACTAACGACGCTAACTGTGTTTAGCCTGTTTAGATTTTAATGATCAAATCTGACAGCCTGAAATCGTGTTAATTCAATGAATTAGCTCCCAAGCTTCAGTATCCATGGATTAAGAAAAATATAAAATGGTTTAAAAGTCCAAATTAACCCAAAGTCCAGACTGTTTTTTCTCTAAAATCATCAAAATTCTCAAAAACATGCTATCTCACTACTCCAATTTACTAAGAAAAGTGCAGTAAAATGTCTAGCAGGCAGCTGTTACTTCATCACTAGTCGCTAGTCAAATGAAGTGAGACGAAAGTAGGGGGAGTGCAGTTGGAAGGGCACAAATAGAGAAAGAAAGAGCAAAGGAGGGAGTGAAAGCAAAGGGGACACGGCTGTGTATGCATCACTGCTTTTCTTTGAAGGACACACACAAATAGAGCTAATGCATAAGCCAGAAAGCATAAAAACATGTGAGTGAAAGGGATAGTAGGAGGCTATTGCTAGAGGCAATGACAAGGATGGTACAGATGCCCACACACACACTCACACACACACACTGTGCTATTCACTGATACAGCAATTGCAAAAACAAGAACGTAATTACAGCTTTAATTATGAAATGTCAGAAAACATAACTGTAAAATTTAATCACTGCTGAAAACTTGCCTCCATCGTTATTTACTTTAGAGATTACGGCACCCTCCTCTTAACCTAACACCTCTTTTCTGGGTCATTTGGAGGAGTTGTAGCTTAACTGACTGTCAAACCTGTGTCCGAGGTCTTTGCATGCACAAGTCACCTGACATCACTCGTGTTATATAATTATTTTTTCCATTTTGAAGGTATTTTTGTTGCTTTAATTATATAAAAGTACATTGGCACACGAGGACTCGTTTCTTAATAGCCAATACTGCCTAAATACTGCCTGTCATATTACGGCATTGCAATGAAATTTATCACACCAAACAATCAGCTAATTATTGAATTATATGCCATCTTATCTCATCTTAAAGCCTGAACCATGAAATAATTGCCAGGGTTACATTAAAGCTACACTTTTAAAAGTGTGCTGGCTACAGCAGTAATTTTTATCAATAGCTAAAACTAATTAAAAAAAAAAAAAACAGATAAATAAATGGCATAAATAATGACAACACATTATCTTTTGCACAGATATATCCCCCCAAGTACCAGACATCCATGGATATCTCTTTCCCTTTTCCTTTTACTCAAAAAACCAGCCCGGTAAAACAGCCATGGCCATTAGTTTGCTGAAAAAAGTCACTGAAAATTTTGCACAAAATGGTCAACTTTTGTGGACCACATATAGCCTAATCTAGCCATAAGGATTTGATTACATACCAACTAGCAAAAGACAACTTTAAAACAGGAAATGGGAAAGGATGTCTTTCAGGCGATTGAAAAATGTCTTAATTTACACACGGCATAATTTCCTGCTATTGAAACGACATTGAAATATAAACCCACTGAGTATTTTTCCAGCGATTCTAAGCCCAAAACACATCTAAATAATACATAACTGTCTAAATTAAACTGATATCAAGTGTGGTTTCAAAATGAAAGTTAGGTGGGTGTCTAGATCACTCCTACGTGTTATTTAAAGAGCTATATTTTTGAACAAAAACATGCTTAACATACGATTGTGTCTCAGACTTGGACCCCAGCAGTTCTAGTCCAACACTACACCTGTTGAGCCAATAAACAAAAATCTAGTGCATACTATGTCCATTTAATATGGATATATGCAAATGGCATAAACAAATTTTGAGAAAAATTCCTAAACCCTTTGACATTCAGTAACCATAAAGGGAAGACCTTTCTGTGTCCTAAAAAGACCACTTTAAAATTAGTTCATGTTTTCAAAAGTCTGAACAAAAGGAAGGAAGGGAGGAATATTTTTAGGTTCTATATTTGGTGATTTTGCTGATTAATTACTTTATGTGATTAAGTGGCATTTTACAATCAAGAATCCAGAAGGTTAGATTAAAAGGCTCCATGTACTTTAAGCAGAGGATTATTTAATAACTGCACAGCAGCATCCCCATGAGGGACATTGTTGAAGGGTATGAAAATAGTGCTGCAGGACATTACAGTCTAGTTTGTTAATTAGCAAAATGAACAATATCCCGAAAGGAAGTGTCAGCACAGAATCAGGAAGTTAGCAAGACTTGCTCAATAGAAATTTGCATTATTTAGCACTGTAACATTCACTAAAGTCTATAATGAATCTTTACTTCAGATACTGCAAAATCTTTTTCTCATTCTCTTGGTTGGTTCCAGCTTTGTATTTAACTTCTTCGAAACAAAAACTCTGTCCAGTGTACTGATGCAGTGAGATGGAAAATCAGCCAGACAATATGCAGAGACTCACAATTGTTCTTTCTTATGGTCTTATCATTTGCTGTGATTCATTTACTGAAGTATGACTTTATATCACCCCTCTAACATTATGCTGCATTAGTGCATTTGTCACCCTGGCTAATGCATTAGTATACTGATATGTTTTTGTTGTGCATTTTTTTGTTCATGTTTTAGCTGACTTCTATATTTTGATTATTTGTATGTTTGCATGTTTTTACCACCTGTTTGCTTATATGTTACCTTTCATATGTCTTTTTTTTAATTGTTTTACTGTTTATATTTTCTTTTATTGTTCATCCAACCATTGCCTTCTGCTAATCGTTATCGGAGTCCATTCACAGTCACACACCTATGTGCACTTTTAGAATCACCTAAACCAAATTTTATTGTTATTTATTGTTATCATTTATACTGACAATTGGTGGTTTGCATTTTTTGCAAGTTTCTCCTGTTTTTTTGTTTATTTTAATTTGTTTATTTTAAGGTAAATATTATCATTTACCTTATGAGCATTCTGCCTTTGTTCACCCGTTGAAGCACGTGTAATCTCTGTCTTTAAAGGTGCTACATAAATCAAGTTGATATAACTATTATTATTACTATTGTCAGATATGAACAAGTGCAAATCTGTAATGTCAGAAAAAGCAGAGTTTTGTGGATCACAGATCTCTTAATCTTCAATAAGACATATAGGTCAGTCAAAATATTTGTGAATTATTCCTGAAAATGCAACTTAAAAGATGCACAAGAGTATATTTTGACTATTTGCCACACTGAAATTGGCAGTATGTGCTGGAAGGATGGATGTAGTACACTGACAACATTTTGCCACTAGGGGGGGCTTTTGTATTAAGAAAGTGAATGTAACGTTAAACCAGCAGAAGGAGAGAAAAAAGAAACGTGAGTGGAGAAACTGGGATAAAGTGTACACTTAAGACTGGAAGAAGCCAAGGGCTTTGCCTGGATATGATAAACTCTGATGTGAACACATTCACATCTGGATATGCACAAAGACTCTCCCCTGCACACATGGTAATATTTGATTGCATATTGTTTCTTCTTTGCCAGTGACACACATACACATACACAAACACACACACGCACCTCTCTGAGTTGTAGCATCTCCTTGTCTTTTTGCTCAAGCAGACCCTCCAATTGGTGGATGGTCATCTCAGCATCGGCGAGTCGCCTCGTTCGCTCATGATCCTCCTCGGTTGCCCGAGATGACAGGCCTTTACTCTGCAACATTTCCAGTAACTTCTTGATTGACTCGTCCCTGTAAACAAGAAAATAAGGAAGTTAATAGCATGCTTTAGACAAGGTCACTGAAATCATACCGTAACAAATTACATTTAAACTGTCTTTTTTTAGTCTTTACCTGGCAGTTAGTGTGTGTTTCTGTGTGTCTATCCTCAACTCCATTTCTTCAACAGTCTTCCTCAGGAGGAAGAGCTCTTTGGCTTGCCTCTCATACTCGGCATGGAGGCGCAAGAAGTTCTCCTCTGTCATTTCTTGAGGGGAAATGGGCTGGCTTCCGAGGCCGGAGTAATCGGATTGGAAGAGCTGGTTGAGATCGCGCTGGATTCTGAGCTCATCTTGCAAAGCCTGGATGGTGCATTGAAGATGCTGTTGGAGGGAAACAGGGATGTTCAGCTTACGAATGAAAGAGTGAGCGATTACTATAATGGATATTCCAGACCGTGCAATGTCCATCATAGCGACTGTCTAATGTCACCTATAATCCTTTACACCTATTGCTAGTCACTTCGCTTGCTCGGTCCAAAGTTGAGATAAGTTTAACTTGGTACCTGCTTTCTTAGCTTCACTAATGGTAATTTTATAAGTCATTGCTACAAGTTGCTAAATTTTATTGGCATGCCACATACTATCCCATTGTACAACTAGACCTATCTGCAGAGATCTGAAAGATTTGTTGATCAGTTCTATTACTGTAGTTAACCTAACCTAATCTAAACCTAACCTAATCTGGTGATTATAAAAGCTAAACTACACAGTAGTGAGGGAAAGAATAGGTGGCTCTTGTGTAACTATTATTGCTTACCAGACACTTCAATCTAATGACTTTTGTCTTTGTTTGACACCTACAAGCAAACCATACTCAACCCACTGATTTCTATACCGTCCCTTCCTTTTGTGCATCTTTGTATGTAAGTGTCACACATCTTGGTCAGCTTACTTCCCCAACTCACTCTGTTTCTGTAACCAGAATACCAATAAGCACATCTATCCAGATCTCCCAATGGCTCTTGGTTCACTGTGTGCCAAATGGTGTGTGTGGTAATTTGAGGTTACTGGGACATCTGCTGCCGTAACACTGGCTTTTTATCAGCAGCTCCGTGTTGTTTTTCCACCTCCTTTTTAAGAAGTCTGACCTCATGCCTTAAACATGTTGGAAGGGATTATACAGTACCTCCAGGGTGACCCAGGAGCTCTTGGGGCTCACCAGTGCAAAGCAAAGACCTTTGGCCTGCTGTTCTCATCCTGTTGTCATTGCAAGTCTGATAAGGATAAACAAATGCAACAGAGCAGGCAGTTTTAACCAGACTGTGGACCTTTGCTGTTTGCTAAGGTTTTTAGTTGTTTGCGTCAAGATTGTCAGCAGGAATGCACCAATCAGAAATGCGCAAGCAGTAGTCCTGTAGCAAAATGTTTCCTCATGTTTTGTTTAACTCAATGTAATCAGTGAGGGATCAGGAATTAAAAGGTAAAGAAAAGCTGAATTAATGAATTCCTAATGGGATTGCTCATTTTTAAAGGCATATTACAAGTTTTCTAAACTGTTAATAAAACAACCCAAAAATATAATTCTCTGAACTGGAACTGGAATGCACCATTTCTTGTGCAGTTAAATAATTTAATAAATATATTAAATGATCACATCATTTTCACACTTACTGCAAAACTCTAAACTCAGTTAAAAGATTTTGCATAGTGATTTCATTTCTTAAACACAACTACCTCACACTATTCCTTCTTACTTCTGATGTCACTTACCAATTATGTGCCTGTGCACAGTCAGCAAGGTGAGATAAGAATCTATAACAAGAATGGCTGGAAATAATCTGAGAAGCAGAGGAGCTAACATTTGAGCCGCGGTGACAGGCTGTGTTCCTGTTCTTGGAATGGTGATGGATGACATATTGTGATTGTGGTGTGGCTCCATAGTGTAGTGGTTTACAGCCCTGAGAGGAGACATGAATCCCTTTGGGGTTGTGTCAGGAAGGGCATCTGGTTTAAAAATCTGCCAAATAAAAGATGCAGGCTGTGAAAACCCCTCGTGAATAAAGGAGCAGCTGAAAGTAGCTTCTTCTTACTCATAGCAGAAGCTACTTTCACATCTTTCTCATGCAACATTCTGTAATGTTTACAGGATTCATTGAATTCTTTATGCAAAATTATGCTGTGTGAGAAAAATGTGAAAACAAACACATTCATTCATTCACAATAATAGACATGGAGGGGTCTTATGAGCCCTAAAATGCATGTGAAACCTGAATATGGACTATTTCATTTTATATTTTTCCATGAGTATGAGTAAAGCAGGACAAATAATAAAACCCAGTCTCAGCAGATTTACCACAGTCTTGAATATTTCCTGTATCCTGCGTGCATGTGTATGTTATTTTTGTAGAATTGCACGATTGTCGCGTCTAAGGGAGCACTGAGCTGAGAGGGAAAGCTTTCAATTTACCAGTTCATATGTGTCCCAAGCCTGTCTTGTGGTTATAAAATCTAAAAATGACTGCAAAAAATCAGGTTGTGGATATCAGCAGAGCTTCCTCTGTAGGGTGGCTGTGCTCAGCCCTAGAGATGTGATGAGGAGGAGCTCGGACATCCAGAGAGATGTCTGAATAGAACCACTGTTCCTACATGTCAAAAGGAGCACTTGAGGTGATTCAGGTATCTTGACAAGGACGTTTCCTGGTCACCTTCCTTTGGTAGTCTTCCAGGTATACTTAGCTGGGAGAAGACACAACCTGCAGATTATACTGTTTATCTCAGGAAATAATTCAGGATCCCCTAGGAGAAACTGGAAAGTGTGGCTGGGTAGAAGGGCAGGTAGAATAACCTGCTAAGCCTGCTGTCACAGCAACCCAACTGATAAGGAGAACAAGAGGGATGGATGGATGGATGAATGGATAGATGGATGGATGGATGGATGGATGGATGGATGGATGGATATGTGTGTGTGAGAGAGTTTTTTCTGTGGTGCCATTTTTACATTTTTCTGGTATTTTGTGTAATGAATGCTCAGTAGTTTATTGCTTTTACAGGCTGTGTGTGATCCTTTGAGGATAAATCAACCAAGTTATAATTTGATTGTTAAGTTTTACCAAAAGAGTCCAATGTTTTGCAGATGTACTCTGAAAATTGTGTGTTTACAGTTTTCGGAGGAGCATACAAGGTTTGAAAAAGTGTATCTTAGAAACAGAGAAGAGGCTTCTAGCAACACTTCACCTTCTTCAAAGAGAAGAGCATAAAGTCTGACGAGCTTAAAGCGTCAGCAGCACTTGTAGTGTAAGGATCGACTTAAAGCGTCAGCAGCACTTGTAGTGTAAGGATCGACTTTATTAGTGTCCCTGATGGAGGCCATGGGCTGAAATGCATCAATGAAATAATAAGTTCTTCATACGAAAAGTGTGGGTGGACCTTTAACATCTTCAGAAATGTATCTGTAATTAATAAACTGCAGTGAGTCAAATGAAGAAATCCCAAAGTAAATCATTAGATTTTTATTCAAAATCATGCACAAAATAGGTCAAGCTCAACTTATCCAACATGTGAGTAGCTGACAGACCAACTGAGGCAATATATGTGTGTCATCTCTGTAATGTGTTCTAAAAGTTTCCTGTCAGGTAAGTATCACAGCCATCATGACAGGAGATGATGCGACATGGCTACCTCTTAGTCACACAAAAGCAGCACATTATAAAAGTGTGTGTGTGTGTGTGTGTGATGTCACACTGATGTCTCCAGGCTGTTTTAAAATGCGTCACAAACAACCTGAACAGCGGCCAGGTCATCGCAACACTAGTCATGGAGTATTTCCAGAGATAAAAATAATACAGGTACCAAAGCGCTGAGAGAGATGCACATGAGTGAGAGCAGAAGTAAACAGGAGAGGTTATTAAAAAAGAAGAAAAGATGAGATGCTATCGCTCCCCTGCAGCTATGATTGCTGAACACTGACGAAGAAAAGGGAAACGTTTCAAGCAAAAAGGAAAAAAATGATTAGTGAGGAGACAAAAAGAAACAATCCTTAGATATAAAAGAAGAGAAAGAAGAAAGAAAAAGGAAATAGCAGCTGATAGTGATCACAAACATAGTGCATGCTCGTACAAACAGACACAAAAAATTGGATAAAAGGTAATGAGATAATACTGTAGCAACTGTCTGTACTCTGCTTTATGTCACACGAGAGCCAGCGCAGCATCTCTTCTGGTTTGTTTCAAATTTATGCATTTGTATTGAACCAAATTAAAGATGGTGAACATCTTTATTGTCTTGATCATTTTCTCTCTTTATCGTATTGCCATGTGTGGGTCGGTTTGCTGACTCATACAAGAGCTCCTCACATGCACACACATCTGACGGCTGAGGCTGACATTTCTAGGACTCCCCTGAAGATTTAGAGCCAGACAGAGAGTGACAGAAAGCATCCCTTTCCTCACTCAAATATTCTTTCTCTGGTTTAATCCTCCTTCCTCCATCCCAACTCTAATTCCTACCTCTGACATGCAAACAATGACCCACCCATATCCAATAAAAATGCACCATAGCTTCAACTGCTTTAAATAAAGAGTTCACACTAAGTTAACTGATTGATTAGTTGCTCAAAAGACACATAACAATTTTTAATTATCATATCTTAAACACCTTAGTGATTTAATTCTGCTATATAAATTGCTTTGGCAAATAATGGTAACCTACAAATTAACTGATATATACACTCACTGGTCACTTCATTAGGTACACCTGTTCAGCTGCAGGTTAACACAAATTTCCATACAGCCATCTTTAGGGCTTACAGAGATCAGAAAAAGAGCGGTGAGCAGTGGTCCTCTGGGTAAAAATACCTTGTTGACGTCAGAGGTAAGAGGAGAATGGCCAGACTGCTTCCAGCTAATAGGAAGTTAACAGTAACTTAAATAACTACTAAATGCAGCCAAGGTATGCAACACAACCTTGAAGCATGGCTATAGCTGCAGAAGACCACACTGAGTGCCATTTCTATCAGCTAAGAACAGGAAACTGTGGCATTTTGCACACGCTGGAGACTGGAGGAACACTGCCTGGTGTGATGAGTCTTGATTACTCTTGCGAGATTCAGATGGTAAGGTCAGAATTTAGAGTAAACATCTACACCACCATCCTGCCTTGCATCAGCGAGTCAGGCTGCAATATCGTTGTTAACCATGTGCACTCCTTTATCACCACAGTGTACCCATCTTCTGATGATTGCTCCCAGCAGGATAATGTCCCACGCCTCCGAACTCATATCATTGAGTTCACTGTACTCAAATGGCCCCCACTGTCACCAGGTCTCAGACCCAGAGAGTGCCTCTGGGATGTGGTGGAACAGCTGACTTGCATTATAGATGCGC